CCACACACACACACACCCGCCCCGTATCGTGCAGTATTGATGTCCCTGTTCCTTACAAAAAAAACAGACAGCCAGTGAAGGATGTTATTTCGGCCTTAAAAGAACGGGGTGATATGAGAGATTGGTCAGTATTTCAAAATCAGCGGGACGTTAACTCTGGAGAACAAAAAGAGGAAGGAAGGGAGCGGGGAAACTCGGGTGCCAGGAAAGGCTATGTTTCCAGCTTTACCAAAGACTGGCATTTCATTTGAACAATTGGATGGGGAAAAAACTGAGGACTTGTGGCGCCTATATAAACAAAAGGGGTTAAATGTTAAGAAGGTAGACCATACCTCGGATCCAATTTCCCTCTCTGATCAGGTGCTCCAAAGGTTCAGCCCTCTGCCTCCTCCCCTCAGTTTCACACTGCTCTCTGGCCTCAGCCACCACTTACTGGTGCACCTCTTTCATCTTGTCCATCTTTGGACTTTTAGAGTAAAAAATTGCCAGAGGCCGCCAAGGCCTGTACCCCTTTTGAAAGACAATGGTTAGCCTGTTGTTGGGCTTTGTTGGACACTGATTGTCTTGATGGCTCTGATGAACCTGACACTTGTGTGTACCATAACTCACCATGTTTAAATCATAAGTTCAAGTGTGATAATGAGAGGTGCATTCCCCTGTCTGTGCTGATGGATATGATGAGCGACAAAACTACATAGGGGATCTTGCTCTGAAAACGATTTCACCTGCAGTAACCGACAGTGTGTCCCTGACTCATACATATCGGATACACAACGTTGTAGCTGACCAGCAGGCTCAGGTTGACGTTGCAGTTGCCTGCTTTGAACACGGATGGTTTGGCTGGATAGGTCCATCTCAAGGCTGGACATTTGAGAGCCCAAGCCACCTACAGTTTATTGTAGGATGGCTCCTCATTGTCTCTTGTCAAGGAAATACCTTTGTGGGCGGGACTGTCTCACAGCCAAGGCTCTGGACCAGTCCTGTGCGCAACTACCAGCATCTGCCGGAGCAGGACTTCCATAGAGTAAATGATGCAAAACGGTACCAACTGGCCATCTATGTGCAAATCTTGGAAGGACACAGTCAGGCACACTGGACTCCAAAGATTTGGACTGGACATTATTGGGAATTGGGATTGACAGTGTACCCCTCTAATGCTAATTATTGGTGTGTTCCAAATCATGGTTGGACAAATGTGATGGTGGGGTGGGCTCACGCTAGTGCCTATACCAATGTTCTCAATGTAATGTTAACCGCAGGTATGAACCCCATGAACACCTCTCTCATATCTCTTGATGTGACTCCATTGTTTCTGTTAGCCTGTTTCTTTTTTTGGGAGGGGGGGTGGTGATGGTCTGTTTTCCCTCATAAGGTGATGGTCAGTCTGTCTCTTTTTCTCTCTCATATTGGGAGACATGAGATGATGATAATAACCTATTACCAATGAATGCCAATTTTGAGGCCGAGTTGTGTGTGGGCAGATGTTGGGAAAATTCTCATTCATTGGCTGATGTTAGCTTTTCTTTGTTTTTGTCTCTTTCCTTTTTGTTCCCTCACATGAGAGACTGCATGTGAGGTGATGGTTAGCTTTTGTCTGTTGGCTCTTTGTTCCCTCACATGAGAGACTGCATATGAGGTCTGGCTTGGTTAGTTTAGGATTAAGAGAATTCTTAGCTCAGGGGTGAGAGAATTCTCCCTTGCCTCATTCCCGGCAGGGGAGATGTGAGATAATGTTGCTTTCTGTCTGTTTCGCTGCATCAGCAGATGGAGTGAAGAAGTAGCTAAGTTATGTCAGGATGATATGACAAGCACCTTGCCATACTTTAGAAGGCTTTGGGCCAGTAGTCCCAGGTGAGAACAGTAGGTGTTGTTTTCATTAGCTGGATAGACAACATCCTTATGATTAACTGCCGAACCCTCCCGGAACTGGCTATTCCTTGAGAGGGGAGGCAGGAACAAAAACTTGGCTCTAAAGTACATCTGAAGAGATATAGAAGACAGACCTCAATTGGCAGTTCATCTTCGTTTTTTCATCAGCATCATTATCTGGAACTTGCGTGCAGCTTGCAGTATTGGGGGACACCCCAGTTTTCAGCCACGGACCTGGCGAGGTCTTTTGGTTCTCGACCTCTCCAGTGTACTCTTCCCACGGTTTGGTGAACTTCTTTGGCATAACTTTGTTATTAATGTGTATAGTTTAGTTTTAATTGCCCTTTAATTGCTTTTGTCTTTTGCTGTTGTATACTGCTAAATAAATGGATTGGGTCCTCTCTCTCTAGCTGTGCTCCCCCCCCACCCCCCACCCCTTCCTCATTACACCATGCAATTTCCCCAGCCTGGAAAACTGCGTCCAGATCTCTGCAGAGCTGCCTCCTTACTTCCTTCCCAGCTCTGCACCAATGTCACCTCTTAGAAGGGTCTTTCCCTGGCCTTGCTAGTTCTAGATAAAGCATCCCCATCCCTACCTGCCTGTCTTCCTAAATTTTTGTGCACAGAATCTGGTACAGTTACAAAAGCAGAGATGGGGGCTTGATTGATTTTTTGTTTGTTTTTCAGAGTATTCTGGGAGCAAAGAGGAAAAATAGCAACTAAAACAACCATAACAGCAGGCCTTCGTTTAGCACTTGATCTGTGCTGAGGCAGAGTTATTCCCACCTCCTCAGAGTCAGGGTCTTTTATCATCCCTGCTTTATAGAAGAGGAATTTGAGGCCCGCCAAAAGTCACATAGCCCCTAAGTAGCCGAAAGTCAATATGGAGTCCACTGACCACCAGAGCCTGTGTTCTTAATCACCCTTCCACCCACAGTGGACTGGGGAGGCCCGAAGGTTACATCTAATGTGAACTTTGCAAGGCAGAGAGATGTCCCTTTGACATGTCGACTTGGGAATGAGAGGGGTGGTGGACCTTCCAGCCAGATGAAAGTGTATGTACACAGGCAGGGAGTAGCTCTGAGGTGGTCCCAGGAGGGTGAGAGTGTGTGGTCTTTTACGGATATTCAGATTCTATTTGTGTTCCTGAGACACATGACTCTGGGTGGGTGACGTGCTAGAGCCACCTGAGCCTCAGGTCACCTGCTGTGCCGTACAGATGATAATGGTGTTTCCATCATAGCTGTGGGTGGATTAAGTAGGAAAAGCACCAAGCACTGACATGTGCCCAGCACTCCAGTGTTTGCTTCATGAACATTTTTTCTTTAATTCTCACTACAACCTAGTGAGGTGGGAATTACTACTGTATTGATGTGAAATCAAGGCTCAGAGAAAGAAGTTGACTTCCCCCAGATTATAGAGCAGACAAGTATCATTCCCAGTGGGCGATGTTCAAAGTCGGACTCTAGCTCCAGAGCTGAACAAGGCTGTGAAGCCTCAGCCTGGCTCAGGCACACAGTGAGGCCCAGTAAGATTCAGCTGCTGCCGCTTTTGTCATGATTGGTGCTTTGATCATCGTCATGACCTCCCTGTTCCTCTTCATCCCCAAAGCGCTTGCTGTCTGTGCCTCTCAGGCCCCATGGCCCTGCCATTGTTTTGTGTCTTTCGTGAATGGTTTCGGCATAGAAAGCTTTTGTCTCTGACACGGTCACATTCTGTCCAGTGGCGGTGTTTGACTCCTTGGAACCTGGCATATAGAGGTAGGCTCCCAGCAAGTGCTCAATGCTACCGGCCTTGGGGCTCTATGGTCCTTTACCAATGACTGGGCATCGGCTCTAATCCCATCTGACTGGCCCTGGACCAATGAAGCTACCTCTGTTTCACTTTTCAGGCATCCATTACCTTCAAGGATGTGGCAGTGACCTTTACCCAGGATGAGTGGGGGCAGCTGAAGCCTGCCCAGAAAACCCTATACAGGGAAGTGATGCTGGATACCTGTAGGCTCCTGGTCTCTCTGGGTAAGGCCTCACTGCTGCTTTCTTTGGGGACCTGCAGCCTCCTTCATTCCACTTTTTGTTCAGAAGATTTCTGCAGGATGCCCTGTGTTCTCCCCACAACCCTAACATGTATTGGTTTTACCTTCTCCTGCCTTGTCCCCTTGTATCTCCTACAGAGAATTTTGGGCAAGAAACGTTAGTTCCCCTCAAAATATCTCCGATACCAAAGGAGAAGGATTTGTAGGAGGCAATATGGGTTTCTTTTAATATTCAAGGGCAAGATAGCCAGTTGGGCACCATGAAAGGCTAAAGTCAGGAAATAGAAGAAATCCTGATTAGCTCTTGGCCTCAGGGACTTCTGATCTTTGTATCGCTAAGTGAGTCTCCTTGTGCCATTCTCAGCAGATTGGCTTTTTCTGCCACAGGCTGTTGATAGCCAGAAGTGGCCACCCCTGTCCTCGTTCTAAGAAACCCCCCAGTAACTTGTCTCTACTTCTCGCTCTGTTTTTTTTCATTTCTGTCCTCCTCTCCACCTGGCTGTCTGCACCCATGTCCTAGTGGCATGCAATAGCCATCTGAGGCCACACTCCCCTTTACCTCTCACTCCAGTGCTTGGCGCAGGCCGACCCTTGTTTGTTCCTCCCCCAGATTCCCACAAGATGGACGCTGAGTGGCCAGGCTTGGTTGGTTCATGGCCCAGTCAGCAGGACCCGTGGGTAATGGATGGGGTGTTGTCCAGAAAATGAGTGAGCAAGACAGGACGCCAGGAGGCATCTGTGTGAGTCCTACTATCTTTCTAAACAACACGGTTCATTTAAAAGGCTCCATTGGCCCCTGATGCCTAACTGCTCGTCCTTTGTGTCCTGAAGCCTGGGCCATGATCCCCTGTTGGTATGGGAGACCATGTTAGGGAGTACAAACATGACAAATGGCATTGACGGACGATCAGAGAAAGCCATTCCTTTTTCTCTTTCCTACTTGCTGATTGTTTAGGGAGAAAGTATCTGTTTTGTGCTGTCTTTTTTAATGCCCCTTTGACTATTGATAATTTCCCTTTTCAACAGAGGGGACAGCCTCAGACTCACAACCCTTAGCAGGCAGCGTGAGCTCACTGAGACTTAACAGTGCTATCTTGATTTTCTTGTAGTAACTTTCCATTTGTGGCAAATGAAATAGGTTTTTCAATTTCTCAAATTGACACAATGTATATCTTTTTAAGATATATATTAAAATAAAAAGTGGGTCAGTGTAAAGCAAAAGCAATGGTCATAATTAATGTTCTATGAGCACTGGTGCTCGTGGGTCCTGTGACTGCATCTGAACAATTTCGGGGGTTCTCTAAACGAGTTCAAGGGCGATGGATCAGCCTAGACAGCCAGCACTACCTCACTCAGCCTTTAGGACCCAGCGATGATATTCTTGGCCGTGGTTCCCAGGTCATAGATCAACTTGGACAACAACAGCCTTGGAAGGTCTCCTGTCTGTCCTGAAACCCCAGACAGCACTGAGACATTTCTTTTTGTCTTTGCTAAAATATGAATATCTTATTTCTTTCTTCATAAACAGGATGCCCAGTTCCCAAATCAGAGCTGATCCACCTATCAGAGCACAGGCAGGAGCTATGGATGGTGAAGAGAGGCCTCTCCCAAAGTGTCTGTCAAGGTGGGTGGCCAAGATTTAGGCAGTGGGTGTCATGTCAGCCTTAACTGTGAGGGGACCAACTGCCTCTGGAATTCGTGGGAAGCTTCTTGTCGTGGTCTCCTTGGGTGCCTGGGTCTGTGTAGAGCCCTTTGTCTTGAGGTCCCTCTGTCCTCCTACCTCATCACATTCTTTACTGCCACTGGTGGAAGAATATGTCCTGTTAGGTAAGAGTGAGGCTCTGAGTTCCAGCTGCTTGATCTTAAATCCTGCCTTTGCTCCTCACCAGCCCTGTGACAATAGGGAAGTGGCATGGTGTTTTTGTGCCTCGCTTAGCTAAGTTAGGCTCAGTTAACGCTCACTGCAGTAACAGATAACCTCCAAAATCTCAGTGGCTCAACACATGAAAAATATTTTTCTCACTCATGGCAGGGTCCATGTGGGTCAGCGTAGGAGTTCATATCACACAGTTTTTCAGAGACCCATGTGCCTCTGTCATCCATCTGTGGCGTTATGATTACCCTGGCATCGTTCTGCTGGCAGAGGGGGAATGAGAGGAAGGATAGAGTCTCACCCAGTTGCACACACACACATCACTTCCCGTCATTCTGCTCGAGAACTCAGCAGTTGGCCGTCCCTCTTAGGATGCAGCGGGGACCTGAGGTTTAGCTGTGTGTCCAAGGAAAAGAGCAGATGGGTTAGATTTACATCGACCCCGTCTGCTGCACTCAGCCTACTCTGTTTTTTTTTTTAAGATTTTTATTGGGGAATTGGGGGATGGGAACAGCGCTGGGGGATTGAGGAAAGGGGAACAGACAAGTTGCTGTCGTTTTTTTCTTCAGTCTAGTTGTGGAGGACATTGCTTCACTGGCCCAAGTTAGCACCATCATTGTGCTCTTCCCGGGCGAGGCAGATCAGTTGCTGGCTTCTGGACAGCCGCTCATGGTGGCTTGAGGGCCGCTCACGCTGGCTGCTGGCTAGACACGGTAGCCCATGGCAACCCACTGCCACAGGGGCTGCAGCCTACGCCGTCGCCNTTGCAAGTGGGGTTGACTTGCCTCTGACAGTAGTGAGTCAATCTACCTGTTTAAGACACTGTTGGGACAGGGTCCAAGAGAACAGTAGAGCCAGGCTGTCAGCCCCACATGGAAAAGTACTGGCTCGGTTATGTAACCCGCACATGCATAGGATGCATCCCTGTGTAAACACTAATGTAACCAGTTGGCCATCAGCTGTAACCAGTTGGCCACTAACCACTATTGTTCTGTATGCTATAAAGCTGTGGGGCTGATCCCTGCGAGTGCAAATGTTGCTTCCTGTGTCTCCACTGGCCACCCTGGGTATGAACCCTCTCTCTGTGGCTCTGTTGTTTTTCTTCAGCCTCACTGTATCCAGTGTTTATCTGCTGGGAGCTGAACTCTGGCATTACGTTACACCTGGCTTTACAGACACTCACATGTGAAAAGCAAATCCATCACATGTTCAGAGTAGATTTAAAAGGGGCACTGTAATAAATCTAACTAAAAGTAACCTCACAGGGTAATCTGGTCGTAAATTCCTAACTGGGCAGGTCATGGTGGGTAGTCACACCCCAGGCATATAACTTCTTTAGTAAAAGGTTTATCTGTGCCTTAAGCAAGCCCTGTCCATTGTTGTTGTGCATCTAGGTTAGCACACCTTTGAAATGCCAGCAGTAATCCTCTTTTCCAGACCCCTTGATGTTGTAACCACCCTCAAGGGAGCCCATGATCTTGTTAGCTATCCTGTACCTACCTTCTTCCACCTTCACATAATCTTCCTTACTTTCCCTCCTTAATTCCACATGTATAAAGAAACTATAAAACTCATTCTCTGGATATTTGAGATCTTGCTTCTGGGCAATGCTGCCAGTTTGGCTCAAAAAAAACGCTTATAAAAATTCTCTACAGGTTTGGATGTTTCTTATGTCAACACCAGTAATGATGGCGTGCAGGAGAATTGTCTCTTTTTAGACAAACACACAACAGGCCCTGGAGTCCCCTCTGGCATGGCACCCTGTTTACTTTTGTAATAACCCTAATCACTGTCAGATTTGTCTTACTTGTCCTCCACGTGGTTCTCTTTCTCACTTCATTTCATGCTTCCTTCTATGTCCCCTCCTTGGAGAGGCCTTCCCCACTTACCCCATTTAAAGCCTTCCCAATCTCTGATACCCTCATTCTGTTTTGTTGTCTGTAGAATCCTTACGGCCATTCGAGATAGTATTTTGCATTCCTTCTTGGGTACCTGTCCTCAACCCTGGAACGCCGTGTGGGAAAGACGTAGGGGAAAATTTGCATTCATTGGCTGATGTCAGCTTTTCTTTGTTTTTGTCTGTTTCCTTTTTGTTCTCTCACATGAGAGACTGCATGTGAGGTGATGGTTAGCTTTTGTCTGTTGGCTCTTTGTTCCCTCACATGAGAGACTGCATATGAGGTCTGGCTTGG